GAAGCCATTTTGCATGAGATGGATGTAGGTATGTTGCAGCGGGACGTCACAAGTGCAACATCCCCTCTGCTCCCTGCTGGAGGGCAAAAAGCTGTCAAGTTGTCAACATAGTGCACTAAATCATAAATGTACACATGATGTATAAGAGAAAAAGGGACACACTGCTTTGCTACAGATTGTCAACACTAAGTCAACTAGATAAGGTCAGGAAAAAGCTTTAAATAATAATAAAAAAAAACAGCTTGACTTTGCCAACCTTAACATGTGGATGTGCTGCTGAATTTGGTGTGTTTTAATTCAGTTAAAAAAAGTGACCTAAACACCAAATCTGACAGATCATCATTAGAGCAGGTGTTTAAATTAGCTAATCTATCACAGCGATCATTTATTAATAATCTCAAAACAAACATCAAGTCTAAGAACAAAAGCAGTTTGTAGACTCTGAGTCTAAAAACAGAATGTTCTGTTCTTTGTGTGGGAAATGGTTTTTTTTGTGTTGAATCCTGATACATTAGTGACCTTGTTGTTGTCAGTCTCCATGGCAACGGGTCTGTGTTGAGCGCTGTAGAGTTGTTCTTCAACGGTTTCTCTGCATTATGTTTGCCTTTACTGTGGCATTAAATGAATAATACCTACATCTCCAGGTTTCACTTTGTTTTTCTATCGCGGCAGCGCGGTTATGGACGGCATGTAAAAAAATCGACTTTTTGGCCTCCGGCGTTGAACGTGAAATTTCCGCGCGCAAACAATAACATGCAATGGATTTATAGTTCATGTGGTGTGCGGTGATTTGAGGAAATCCTAAAATATTTTATTTATTTTCTAGGTGACACGCTGCATCTCTCAGATATTGATATGATTGCCGGCACTCCCGTCCTGGACATTAAACCGTACATCCCAGAATACGACTCTCTTAACACGAGGACAGGGCTGGAATCGAACCCAGATCTACAGACTGTGTCTGAAGAGAAGGAGGCGAACATCTCAAGCTTTCATCTAGAAGACAAAACACCAGGTGATGAAGATGAAGATGAGATTCTTCACCTGAGAGGGAAATCTGAAGCAGGTGTTTGTTTAACGCCGCCACAGACTCAGTTTTTTTTACCCAAAGAAGCTGTTAGTTTGCTGAAAGAAGTGGAGTCTTATGCAAACGAAGCTGATCTGACACCACCTGACTGTGAGGAGAGAGACAAAGTGTCAGACTGTGGAAAAACGGAACCAGCAGCAGAGATCGTGGACCGGCCCAGTTATGGCAGTGATTCCAGTACAACCATCGCCGACTGGATCAGAGAGCCTCCGGTTTCCAGCCTGGATGTGCGTTTCACCCCCCAAGCTCAGAAACAGCTGGAGGCGTTCCTTCCTGCACATTCACCTGGTAAGACAACAGGTAAAGGTTGATGTCCTCCACAAGAGGGCGCTGTTGTTTCTGACTTGTTTTAAAACAGGAATTTCCAAACTTTTTATGTGAGCCAAAATTGTCAAGTAAAAAGTATTCACAAGCAAAAGATAAAACAAAAAACTAAAGCAAGCACAGAAAGTTGTCTAATTTTTTTTATTTAATTTTTTGTGCAGAAAAGAGATGTTATTTCTGATGAAATGTAAAAAGGATTGTGCTTGTTTACTGTGCTAAAAGAAAGGCTTCTATTTTTTCAGGCTCATTCGAACAAATTTATTCTGAGTTGTAAGAAAGAGATTCAGGTCATTTTCTTTTAAAATGCTTGCTGTATTTAGCCAATTTTAATCAGTTAATTAAAGCTAATTTGGATGCAGCAAAGCTGGATTTTCAGTAAAAGTCTCTCGATAAACATGGTTCTACTTACTATTAAAGCCTGGTTATAAAAAGACAACTACTTTGTGTTATGCTTAACATTTTCCATTGGAAGAAAATTATATTGGCAATAATTTTACCATGATTTTAAAAAAGATTAATAAACAAAGTTGTATCGTTCTTGAACTGCAGTTGAGGGCCACAAATGGCCCACAGGCCACACTTTGGACACCCCTGTTTTAAAACCACGTCTCTCTTAACAGAACCGTCTGAGTGCGACAGACCCAGGTTTAAGTTTCTGCGCAGTCCGGAGGAGGCCGGCGCCGCCATCAGGGCTGTGCTGTCAGCAGACCCCAGGTCAGTTTACAGGAGAACCCGATGCAGAGACAGACTCTTCTTCTTCTCTCTGGACACCGTGGACGTCACCTGCTGGTTTGGACAGGGGTTCGCTGAGGTTCTGGAGATCCGACCTGTGGGACCACCTGGACCTGAAGAGCCATGTCTGTAAAACAATAAACTGCCTGTTAAATTCTCCTCATTGCAGTGTCTATGTGAAGACAAAATTATGCATTTTATTTTTTTTTTCTCATGTGAGATGAATAATAAATGGCTTGAAAGATGTTTTTCTTTGTCCTTTTTCAAAATGTATTATCTTTACAAATGGCTGTGTTCAAATGGACAACATATAGTCCACATTTATTGGCACTCAGGGTGAAGATAAATAAACTAAATACATAGGCAAGTATGACTCAATCCACAACATTGAAAGTGAACATTATTCGAGTAAAAAAAACAAAACTGAATAAAACAGCGCCCTGTTGTAGTTGTATTTCCTTCCTCTAAGTGGCGACATTACACAAAAGCAGGGTTTGTGGGTCAGAAGAAGAGAAGCGACCAATCAGCGCCGAATTTGTGTTTTTGAATCGGTCTGTTTTGAACGTAACGCGGTTGATGTCAGCTCGGGAAAAACAACTTTATTCATCAGATTTGAAACCTTGGTTCAAGTTGGCTGTTTAAGTCTGGAAGGTGAAGTATTTTAAGACTGTATAACGCTCGTGTTTGAAATAATTGCAGTTAAATTTTCATGTTTAATTGGTTGTTCGTTAACTGACTCCGTTACAAAAAAACCCTACTTCAGCTAACGTAAGTTTTCCATAACTTAGACGTGTTTTAATGCTCTCTGAACGTCTTTAGCTGCGTTTACTCTACTGTTATTGTTCTAAACACAATAATTTAAACATGTTGAACTATGAATGCATGTTATAGCATTTAGTAGGTGTTTAACAGGTTCTATCTGCCTGATCACTGACATCAGAAGCTAGCTTGTTCTCAAGATTTCTGCGTAAATAATGAACAAACCTACGCCTGCTAAACAATGTAAATAAGCACAGTAAATATCAAAACTTTAATAGTATCAGAGGCCGGTGTTGTTTATAAATAAATGCTGATATTTAATATGAGCACTAAGCCAGCAACAGACTAAAAATAAATAGAGGCTTAATTAATAAACATTACTGTCAGATAAACGCATAAAAGTAATAGATTATGAGAAAACAAATTTGCACAGTAAATCAAAGTCTTAGATTTACTCTTCTATTCACTCCTTCTAAATGTAAAAATTTTAATTCAGATAATTACGATTGGTCTGATGCTATCTAAGATAACATTTAATAATTAGAATAAATTGGATATGATGTGACTGAATTGATTTTTCCTTTATAAATAACCATGAGATGATATATTTTGTGAGTTTGTACTATTAAAAATAAAAATGAGCTGAATTTACTTGTCCTCATGGTGAAAAAGCATATAGCGGCAGTGGAAAAATAATGACTCCCTTTTGAAGGAATTAACGTTAAGCTGGCTCAGTTGAGTTTTCAGAGCAGTTGGACACAAAAATCACAGAAGCACTGGCCTTCATGGGAGTATTTACACTGTAAACGAAAATACACTTTTACCGTATTTTCTTTTACAGTGAAAAGAAAGAACTGGGGTAATGGCAGCAGCTGTTCAATGGAGTAAACCACGACTAAACAGAAGCATTAAGCAATATTGCAGCTGCAATGGAATTCTTTGGTGTATTACGTGATTGAGAATTGGTTGGGGTGTAAAAATAGATTATTATTGTTTTAAATTTGCAGCTGAAGAGGTTGTTTATGCGAACTCCAGATTGATCTTTGTGAGAGGATGTCACGGTCCAGCACAGAAGACTGGGTAAGTCTTGTTCTGCACACAGTGTGAGATTATTGCTCAGTTTGGTGTCTGATGATGATCCACTAAACGTTTGTTGATGGTAGTCTTCCAGTAGGAGAGGCGAGCGAACTCCTCTGAGAAGCCTGGAAAATGAGACTCCGTCATCGAGGATCAGGTCAAAGCCACAATTCAGCGGTGACACAGTGAAAGCCAGCATGGTGAGTTTGTGCAAACTTTCAGGAATATTGACTTAGTTTTTTTTATTTGTGGGTTGCTGTTTGGAAAGTTACACTGCCCAAAGTTCCCAGATTATCAGATAGAAAATGGAGTTCATTTTTCAAAGTCATAATTTCTTCTACTTATTTATAATTATAAATGTAAGTATCACACTAAATATTGAATTAGCAAGCTAAATATTTATCTTCAGCTTAAACATTTAGCTTCAAAGTAAATATTCAATGAGCAAGTTAAATATTACATTTGCCACTAAATTTAGATTCATGTAATTAGCAAGCTCAACATTGAGTTTCAAACTAAATACTTACTTAGGAAGCTAAATATTTAGCTTTCTAATATTTAGCCTGTTAATTAAATATTTAGTCTTTATTTATAGACAAATGAAAAGCATGGTGGAAATATGATTTGAAAAATGGACCCCTATTTTTATCTCATAACCAGCTACAAAGCTCAAATGATTGATGTTATTTTTAATAGTGTAAGTTTTGCTTTATTGTTACTCATTATTAAATCTCTTCCACAGTCTGACCTTCATCTCTGTGACACACAGACCCAGTTGGGCACTCTGACCGGTTCCGTTTCCATGGATACTACCCAGTCTGTGTGTGGACTTGGAGACGTCACATTCAAAACCTTTATTTGTTCCGGAGGTGAAGTTGAGATTTCAGACTCCTCAGATGGTGGAGGACAGAGTTTGATTTTTCCTAAAGATGGGACAACTTTTACTCTCACCGCCGAAACGGAAGATTCAGTCTCTTCACCCAGCAGGACGGAGCAATCCTGCAGTGAGCATGTGGAGCATCCATATTCCAACCACAGCGTCGAACAGCCGGATTCGCCCATCACCTGTGAAGCCGATGAGGAGAAATGTTTAATGTGGAAGTCGTTCGCCTGTGATGGAGGTCAGGTTGAAGTTTCAGACTCCACTGGATTACAGGAAGAGACGGTTCCTCTGCCCCAGGACGACCTCTGGGGTCCAGCACAAGACGACGGCACAAACTCAGCCGACTGCACCCTGCTGCTTCCAGCGGAGCATGTCGATCATCTCTACTGCAGCAGTGGAAACGATGATCTCTCGACAGCGCAGAGATCAGAAAACCCTGATGATCTAACTCTGAAGCTGCTGAACTGCAGCGGTGGCGAGGTAGAAATCCCAGCGGACGCTGATGTTGCAGATGAAACTATTCCTCTTTCTCACACCTGTTCTGGCTGCAACCATAGCATGGATCCGAGTGTGTTAGCCAGTGATTATGATCTGGGAAACAGTAAAGATCACTTAGATCATCCGTACTGCAACGTAAAATACAACTCCTCTCCTCCACCAGAGGAGGTGAACACTGTTCCGGACGTACAACCGTGCAGCGCTGAAATAAACTCAGTGCTACCTCACGGTCAGGATGAGAAGTTTGATTGGAAATCAGGTGAATCCCAGGTGTCTGAGAAGATGTTGACTTCGCCTGAAGAGAATTACAACGAAGAACAAATGACTGACCGTCTGAAGAACAGAGAAGCTGATACTAATCCTCCACCTGAGAGTAACGCATCATTAAAGGTGGTGGATGAGATTCCTGAAAACACTCCTTTAGTTGCGTCCGACTGCAGCCGTCTTGACGCGTCGGCAGAAACTCTACCACAGCAGCAACAGCTGGATTCCAGATCCCACTCCGAGGCAAAGGACAGCGCTCTGGGTTCTTTGGGTCTCTGTAACTCTGCAGAAAAAGCTCCTCCTGCAACTCCTGTTATCTTAAAAGTCCTGTCCGAGTGTCCGTCAGTTGCCTCCGCCCTGCAGTTTCTCAGCCCCATCGTGAAGAGAGCGTCTCTGTCCGCGCTGAAGCGCCCCGTGGTGTCGGGTCAGGACATGTTTCTACCTGACGATTCTGCTCTGGAGGATGAGAAAAGCCTTTGGGCTCCTGTTGATGTTGACTCCATGGGGCTGTTAGCAGAGCAGCTCGAAAACCCAATGCCCCGCCCTCTGCTTAACTCCACGGTTGTAAGTTCAAAGCCACAGGAGGATTCTGGGAAGAAATCGCAGCCGGAAACGGTGCCGCTGATTCCTGATGGCCAGTTTCAGCAGCAGCTTCGGCAGATGGCCGAGTTCCTCATGATGGCGTGTGGAAAGATGAGCGCTGATCCTCCTGCTGCCTTCATGGCCCCCTCAGACAGAGCAGATCCTCCTGCTGCCTTCATGGCCCCCTCAGACAGAGCAGATCCTCCTGCTGCCTTCATGGCCCCCTCAGACAGAGCAGATCCTGCAGAGTCCCACAGCGTCTGTGTGGGCACCAGTCCACTGAAGATGGTGGACCACAGTCTGAACACGTCGGGAATATTTGTGAAAAAGAGGGAATTCTCCGTGACTGATTCCTGCACAGCGACCGAACCGCTCATCTGGAAGTGAGTGATGTCTCTTTCTTTTTCTTTCTAACTTTGTTTCAAACATTCTTCTCTTTCCTTCATTCCTTCGTTCTGTTGACCTTTCTTTCTTTTGAAGTTTCTTTCCTTCTTTCTTTCAAAATTTATTTCTAACTTCTTTTCATATTTATAAACAGTGAATTTGAACCTGTTCAGTTGATTCTTATCCTTAAACGTAATTGTGTTTATAATCACTCTACTCTGTGAAAAAAAATGAACGATTCACCAAAAGTTACAGATTAATGACCTCCATGCCCACGATGGATGGATAACTGATGGGTGATAGATTGATGGATAGCTGTGGGAAAACGACAGAAATTTGGCCTACGATAGTGATTCGCAGTCTACTGCTTGTTGATGACGTAATCAGCTGGTATCAAAACGGAGCAAGCGGGAATCGGATGGCGGGGAACGCAAGGGAGAGGTCGTTTAACAGGCAGGTTAAAAAAAAGTAAACAAAACAGTTACAAATATTGCATACGATTTACATCTGCAAAAACAAGTTTAAGCACATAAAAATACATATATTACACTCAATTGTTATCAGATATTTTTTTGTTTGCTTGTTTCTGTTGTAAGATTTATACAAATCGTATTGCGATACATATCGTCACTGCCACCCATCAGGATGTATATTGTGATATGAATTTTATGCCATCCCTAGACGGATGGGTGTAAAGTTCTCCGGTGTGGTTTCAGTTTACCTGCAGGCAGCCTGGAGAGCCTCCCGCGGCTGGAGCTGGAGCAGAGGCTGATGTCCAGCATGATCATGGTGGAGGCGCTGGTCCAGCAGCTGGCTGCAGCCAGGGCGCACCGCAGCCCCTCTTCGGGCCCGGCTCCTTCGGACCTGAGAGAGAAGCTGGTTCAGACGGACCACACTGAGCTCAGTCAGGTAAAAACACTGAACGGATCATAACTGGGGATGCAAGTTATCCATTGATGAGTGATTGAGCTCATCGATCAACTACAAACTAATTGATAAGCGGCCATTTTCTTAAAAATCTGAGTTTTCTCTTGCATGAAGAGGACCGATTGTCTTTCTTCACTAACCAAGACGCACTTGCATAAAGTGCATCTTGCATCCCACCCCTGATCCTCATATGTGTACATAGGAAAAAACTAGAGTAAATTTTTGCCTAAAATCTTGAAAATTTTGAGATTAATCTCAGAAATGTTGTAGAAAAAACTTGGAAATTTTTGAAGTTGAAAAGTCAGAGATTTGCAAGATAAAACTCGGAAATTTTGAGATTAATTTCAGAAATTGTTTTTGGGGAAAAAACATGAAAATTTCTGCGTGTGAAGTAAAAAATTTGAGAAGAAAAAGTCAGAAATTTTGAGATTAATTTTACACTTCCTAGAAAAAACTTGCTAGTTTTCTGAGCTCGCACATATGAAAATTTTCGACTTTTGGACATTGTCTGAGTTTCAAAAGTTGAAAGTTTTTGACTTTTCGAGCTCAAAAATGTCCAATTTCTTTCTAGAAGACTTCTGAGATCAATCTCCTTTGCCCAAAAGATGGATATCTTTTGGGCAAATTTATCCCTCCTTTTATTATTATTTTTTAACCTACAATGGCCCTAACCTACAATGCTGTTGTATACACCAAACTCAGTTTGGACCATTTACGGTTCTGGTATGGCACTGCCATCTTTGTTTCTGTATCAACTGGCTCCGCTTCAGGATGACCATCCCTCTGCTGGATGGTGGCTAAACTGCAACACTGAAAGAAGACCTATAATTTAATGAAGTGGAACTAATTTTAATCTAATAAACCATTAATTTGCGTCCCTCATTAGCTTGTTTTGAATTTTTCTGATAAACTTTAATATTTTCATTCCTTGTTCAGACCACGATGTACAGAGATCTCTACATGGAGGCTCTGAGCCGGATAACTGAGCTGGAGCTTGATGGAAATTCCCTGCAGAATCTCGTCCAGGCTGTGCAGGAGATGAGAGCTGCCATGGTGAGACAAACCTCAGAAATCACCTCAACATTTAAGCTGCTGTCAGGGTTCGTAAAAGGATGTAATGTTTTAGTTTTCCTTGTCCCAATGTAGAAAACCATCACAAGACATGATAGTGAATTGAAACTGTTTTCTTTTTTAGTTTATTTGCATTGTTTAAAGCGTGTTCCTGGAAAAGTTTGAAATCCTACCTTGAAAAGTGCTTGAATTTGACTGAAAAGTGTATGAATCCTGATCTGTGGATAGAGATAAAAATGTTTTTAAACCTGTTGGACTTTCTCTGCAGTCTTCTTTGAGCAGCGACACAGATGCAGCTCTGTCCAACATGAAGAAAATGGGCGAAACCATCAGGGAGGACCATCAGAACCTGGCGTCCCATGTATGTAAATTTATACCTTTCAGCTGATTGAATATGTGTAATAATTAATCCAGCTTTGTTGTGCTGTTCTGTAGTACGAGCTCATGAAGTCCCTGTTTGAGAAATCAAAGGAAACCCAGAGAAGAATCCTGGAGAAAGTGAAAGAAGTTCTTCAGCAGAGGAGCAGCATGGAGGCTCGGATGGAAGAAGCCTTCACGGCCAAGGAGGCAGTAAGGAAAATACAAGATCAATACCTCATATTGATTAGAACTAAAAATATTAATTGTAATTTATCATTAACAAAAATATACAGACTCAAGAAAAGGCTATTTTCTCAAAGAACACCACACTCAGAGCAGAGCAGCAATTATGTCAACACTGTACTAAAGTATATATTTCTCATTTAAAATAATAATAAAAAAACTCTTAAAGTGGTACAAGTTTCAGCTTCTAATTCTGCAAAAAAAGATTCCTATTAAGCAAATTTTGCTGTCCAATTATTAATAAATGAATCCAAAAAATGCATGCAGTTAATTGATTTATTACTTTTAGCGACTGGCCTTCCCTCAGAATTGTTTATTTCTTGACAAGCTACTCCCATCCAAACTGTTAAATATATTACAATTAATAATAGAGTTTATAACACAGTGTGAAACTACAGGTAATTTTAAATATGACCTAATTATAAAATAAGTCAGATAAATAAATTGAATCATTTTAAATATTCAAAATAAATAAAACAAGAGAAACAGCAAATAAAATGAATTCTTAGTCTCTGTAAACAAAATTATCTTTAGAAAAAAGGTTCAGTTAAGACCAAAACACCAGAGTGAAGACTTTTATCATCCAGTTATTGGTAGAAAAAAAGATCATGCAAATGGAAATTATTGAGGTTGTTTTAATATGTCATGTGGTTAAACGATTTATTGTGTTGTAAACGGTGCGTTTGTCTGTCTGCAGGCTTTCAGTGCCATGGATCAGCTGAGGACTCACTGCGCCTCTGAAGTCTCAGCTCTGGAGAAATGTGTCGGATCTCAGGAGGAGCTGCTGGTGGCTCTGAACCAAACCTACCCGGATCAGGTAAACAAAATGACTGGAGGTGCAGAAAATAATAATGGATTCTATAGGAAATCACAAATCAATGGCACGGATCATTTCCGGTTCAGTCTTGTGGGAGCTATGTACATTGGCCATTTAAGTTACAGAATTTTATTCTTAAACATATTTTTCTTCTAAGATAAACTGATGGAATTTGATTGTCCAGTATGGAGCCTTCCAGAATTGTTTTAAATAAATGTTTTATTCATTAACTCTCTATTGGTTTCTGAATTTAAAAATTGTTTCTGAATCAAATTTTGTCCCTAAAAATTGTAATCGAATAAAATTGTTTGACGCTGAAAGATTTGCATGTCTGAAAATGAGCTCGTTCTGTAACCTGCATGGTGTTGCTTCCTCATCTCCTGCAGGTTGCTCTGAACCGGACCTGCCAGGAAACGCTGAGCTCGGCCTCCGATCTTCTGTCCCGAACTGCAGAGGATCACTCCAGCCTGATGCAGGAGGTACGCTGTACTATTTCACTGTTGTGAAATAGATTTTTTATTTTTATGAAAAAACTAAAACTACTGCTATAACTAAAAAAGGCTTAATTGAAACTAAGCAATATTTAGCTGATAACTAATAAAAACAGCGATCTCACTCTAAAAGCTGATTCAAGCCAACTGTATTAGAACAAAACGTCTGAACGAATTAGAACAAAACTACAGCATTATACTCTCACACCCTGGTTTTCTGTCTGCCAGCTCTGCAGCGTGCGGAGCCTCCTGCAGAAAACGGCCCCGATGCTCCTTCAGCTGAACGAGCGAGCCGCCACCGCGCTGAGGGAGAGGGACGAGCATCGGACGGCGAGAGAGCGAGCCGCCGAAGAGAAAGAGCAGGTCAGATGAAACGGGCTGGATTAGGCCGTTTAATCTGAGATGGAGCAGATTATTGGAGGTTAAACGTTACTTTGGGAAAAGTGGCTGTGTGGTTGGTTCTGTAGCGAACTTTCTCATGTTTAGGTGTTGCTTAGCAACATGCTTACCGTGGCGATCGGTCCCATCGGTCCTGAACCCGGTCCAAACCTTTCAGGATTTCTTCATTTGTCTTTAAATTTTCAGTGAAATTCTGGAAATTAAAGTTCAATAAGTCTGCTAAAAAAAATATTAGTTTCCTTTCTGATCCTCTTTTCCCTTTTTTCCTGCTTTTGCCTTTCGTTTGTTCTTTATTTCCTTCTTTCATTTGTCCTGTCTTTTATTTTTCCTTTTCTTTCATTTGTCCTTTCCTTCTTGGGTTCGTCTTTTGGTTTGTTCGTCCTTTATTTTATCTCTCTTTTCATTCATTTTTCATTTAATTTGTCTTATTTTGTCTGTTTTTTTTTTTGTCTGCTTGTGTCCATCCATCTTTTTACTGATTCATTTGTTAGTCCTGTCATTTTTCTGTCCCTCTTTTATCTTTTTGTCTTTTCATCTTTTCATTTGTTCTTTTTGCTTGTCTTTTTGTTCATACATCCTTTATTTTGTTTGTCCTTTTATTTCATTCATCCTCTTTCGTTTTCTTTCTCCCATCATTGTGTTTTATGTCTTCTGTGTCTTTCGTTCCTTACATATGTAGTGAAGTGTTAGGTTTTGTGTTTCATATTAAAAATTGGGCTGATCGGCCTGATAACTCAGATAGTTTCATTCTGGAATGTTGACAATAACAATGTGTGTGTTTTAATTTAAATCAGTTCTGTGTTTGGCGGTTTAGCTGGTTGAAACTAAAAGCGCCGTCTCCAACGATCCTCTGCTCTACAGATTGAAGACGAGCTGAAGGAAACTCACCTGAACCTCCAAACCGCCTCGCAGCAGATCAGCGATTTAAATCTGCAGATCACCATCCTGACATCAGGTGGCGTTTCATTCACTCCTCGCTGTTTTTCTGCTTCTTTGAGTGTTTCAGATGTTTTATTTTCTGTTTTAGTAAATTTCAGAGATGGGCGTCCTGCGGGAGAAACTAACGGCGGGAGAGGAGGAGTCTGCTCAGCTGGAGAGGAAGGTGACGGAGCTGTCTGCGACCATTTCCTCCACGCTGGCGTCCTACGCCTTCCTGGAGCAGGCGCTCGCCGCCGAGACCACCAAGTAGGATCCAAGGGTCAGAGGTCAGGACATCTGGTGATGAGGGAAGGCTTTGCTTTAACGCAGCATGTGGGTTTTTCTGTTTCTGCAGGCTGCAGCAGTCCTGGAAAGACTTGCATGAAGCCAACGAAAGAGCAAATCAGTAAGCGCCGACTTTGATTCGATTTTAGGAGAAGTTTCAACAATTGTAGAGAATTTATAGAAACTCAATAATTGAAGAGGAAGAAGGCTTTTCAGATTTCCAGACTTTTTCTTCCATCTCTTGTTGTTTTCTTCTTTTATTCACTCCTTTCAGATCCTTCATTGCTTCCTTTTAAATCCTTCCTTCCTTTTTTCCTTTTTCCTTTCTTCCTTCTGTCTTTCCTACCTTACTTGCTTTCTTCTTTCTTTCCTTCCTTCTTCTTTCATCTTCCTTTCTTGCAGATCCTTCCATTCTTCTTTCCTTCCTTCCCTCCTCCCTTTCTTTCCTTTCATTTAGTTTTTCAGTAAATTTCTTCACCTGCTGTGTGTTTTCTCTCCTGTTTCTCCTCCAGGCTGCAGGGGTCTCTGTCGGGTTCAGAGCAGCGGGTCAGTGAACTGGACTGGGCGCTGGCTGAGAGCGACCAGCAGCTCGGTCAGCTCCAGAACCTTTACCAGTCTCAGACGGTTCAGATCCAGCAGCTGCAGGAAGTCTGCGCCCAGCTGGGCGGCGTGCGGGAAATGAACGAGGTCAGCTGGAATCCCGTCACGTTTTAGTGACGCTTTTATTCTGAAATTTATTTAATCAGTTTAAATCCCCATCACATTAAAAACCTAATATTAGCTTTTTAATTAAAAACAGTTTTTTTGTTCTGTTGTCCAACCAACAATCACTTTTTGTACAAACTGCAGAAAAACAAAAATATTTACTAAAAACCTGCAAAATTGTTAATTAAGACTTTTTTAAAGATGCTTCTTAGTGTCCAGTGTTCAATGTTTGTAAAAATAACATTTGCGTAATAAAGTGTGAATTTCCACTGCAGAGTTTCACACTAAAAGAACAAACTGTATTTCTGCAGTGTTTTTATGTTAATGGAGCCACAAAAGTCACAGGAATCGATATGATCAGCTGGTGTTGGTGTGACCAGCAAGCGAGTAAACAATCTGTTTAAGGTGTTACCTTGGCTGTAGGTACAATCATCCTTTTCTGGCTTCTCATTACTTTGTTTACCGATTTTATGGTAAATAGCATATTTACCAATTGTATTACTTTTGTAAGCTGTTCTAATACCCTCGTTACTACAGTGTTTGTAAAATGTTAAGTTTTGCAAATTATGGCGTGGGCTTCTTACAACAATTTCAAACTCCTATCTCCAAAAAGCCACGGGTATTCAGAATACCATCCATTAAAGGGGACAGAATTTATATTTGTCATGTTTACTCCCGTTTTAGTTTCTACTGCTTCTAAAAATATCCTAATAAAACATGTAGTTTTTGGCAATATGTTAAAGTTTTTTGGCGTCTGGAAAATGAGCCATTTCAAAAAGGCTCAGGATGTAACGTCACAAATTAGCAAGCAGTACCGGTTACCTGGCAACCCCAGCAGAGTTCCGCCCATTTCCTAGCAACCCCAGCAGAGTTCCGCCCGTCAGCTAGCAAGCCAAGCTGAGCTTCAGCAGGTTTAGTCAGCTCGTTTAACCACTGTGCTATGGCTGCTGGAAAAGACAAGTGTTTTGTTGTGGACTTACCATCCAGAAACCAGTTACTACATTCTTGTTGATTGTGTAGAAGGTTCCACATCTGCTTTTCAAAGATGTATGGTTGTATTTCCACACCCCGCACTTCATTTCAGCCATTTTTATTTCAGTTCCTGCAGATGGAGAACGAGCTGGCGAGGGAGCAGGTGGCTGAGAGCGAACGGATGCTCAGGAGTAACCTGCAGGCGCTGCGGGAGAGAAACATCGAGTGCGAAGACCTGAAATCAGAAGTCTACAAACTTCAGTAAGTTTGTTTCATTTCTAGCTAGTTAAGATTCTCTAATTTTTCATGCAGGTTTAAATCGATCTGTGTGTGTTTTTAAAGGCTTGAAAATCAGAGTCTGAGTGACGAGCTGGAAACGGCCCGATGCGCAGCCGGCGCCGCGCGCATGGAGCTGCAGGAGAAGATGGCTGAGGCGGTCACTGAGATCACCGTCCTGCATCACACGCTGCGCGGCCTGACCACACAGCTACAGGTTTCCCTTAGCAACCAGATAATGAAACCTGAAGCATAAAGACTTAAAAAAGGCTAAGAGAACAACACACTCAGAGCAGCAATAAAGACAAAACTGTACAAAAAATACAAACATCTTGCATTTAATATAAAAAACTGTTTATAAATATGTTCTACCCATTTTTAGCTTCGGCTTGTTCAAATTCTGTTACAAAATCTCGTGTTAGCCCATTTTTCTGTCAATTATTAATCAATTTAATCCAAAAACTAATAAACATATCAGAGCCCTACTCTGTACTGAGTTTAAATCGAGGATAAATGACTGAGCTCTAAATTATTATTTTAGCTACAAATGCATCCTTTGCTACAAATGATCACTGAAGGAATGCTATTCCATTTTAGGCAATTAAATGTTTATTTTCTTATCTAAAAAATTAATTGTTTATTAATTTGCATATTTTAATGTATTTCTAACATTGCTTAAAAAGCCTCAAGTGGTTAAATCAAAATCTGCCAATTTGCTTACACGATTGTCAGAACAATCATTACTGAGATAATTGTTAGTGTCAGCCTTGAGGAACAAATGAAGTCAAAGACAAAATAATAAATCCTTCAGCTGGTTGTATGATTTTTAATAAAAAAAATTCAAACATAAAACGACCCAGAAATCCTGGAGAATCACTGACCAACACCACTAAAAAGGACTAATGGTCATGAAGATCAGTTGTTGCTTCCCTGAGAGTTTCTATTAATCTCAGGCTGTAAATGTGTTCAGAGTTTTAAGCACATTATTTTGTTTTCAGAGGGAAGAACACCAAAAGCAGAAAGAGTCGGCCATGATGTCCGGTGCGGCGCGCCATCAGACGTCCGGCTCCTTCGTCGACAGCGTCATGGTGGCTTTAACGGCCGAGAAGGAGGAAGACGTCAGAACAGACTCAACTTTAGGTGAAAACTTTTTAACTAATATGAGTTTATTTGTTTGTTTATCTGGATCCCCATTCGCCGTTACCGTGACAATGGCTACTCCTCCTGGGGTCCATGTTATTAAAAGAACAAACATTTATTACGAAAACCGTGACACACACTTAAAAAAGCAATGGTAATGAATGTTAATTCATGAATGTACAATTTTAAAATTGTCATGATGAAATAATTAAGAAGACTCTTTTAAAAGCTCCAACATTTGTTATTTGAAACAGATGAAGGAAGTGATTTCCAGGTTTTCATTTCTGTTGCACATTGACAGGGTAAAAAAGTCTTTTAAAGAATGCCTTGTATTAAAATAGTCTACAGTTTGGCTAAATAAAAGTTGAACATTTGGTTGTTTGCTACAACATCTATTTTCCCCTTGGGATCAAAAATGTATCTTTTAATTGAATTAAACCTTTGTTTTCATAAACGGACAATTATTCAAAAAATATCAAAAATTTGAGAAGAAATTAATAATATTTCACCTTTATCCATGTATTTTACTTTCAAATAATAAATTCTGCTTCACTTGCTGATTAAAAATGTTGATTTGAGTCTGATTTGTGATCTTTGTTTCCCCTCAGATGCATCAGAGCCACAGAGTGATGCGTTTTTCAGCGAGACGAGCGCCTTCACCCGCATTGCAGCTCTGAACCCGAAGACGATCTCAGACCCGGTCCAGGATGAAGAGGAGGATGAGGAGGAGGAGCAGAGCAGCATGGCGGAGCTCCTCTCTGGCCTCAGCAGAACCGTCGCAGAGCTCATCAGCACGCTGCAACAGGCGCAGCGCTGCAGAGACGCACAGCTGCAGGAGCTGCACGGCACCATGTAGGTGGACGATACCAGGCAGCGGATAGGATCTGATTTATCTGGATTTAATGCATAAATACTTTTATTACTTACAGTTACTGTTTAAAATTATGTAGTGGTAAAGAAAGAAATGTCTGACATGATTTCCCACCAGCTGTCCAACAGCAGAAAAGTCAGCAAAAACTTTTCAGATGTTAAGATCCGTCGTCGTTTGTTTTAGTTTTTCCACACATAAATGTTTTAGTTTGCCAAACTGTTTTTAATATATCTTATATATTTAATTGGAACGTTAAGGATAAAAGTTTGTCTAAGTTTTGGGAGATCGGAGATCGGTTGATACTTAAATGTGAAGACAATCTTGTCTACCTTGGCAACAACAACTTGGTCTTAAGATGTTTTATTCTCCCCCCTCTGATGTTTGCATGCTGTTTTAGCGGTGGCCTGCAGGTGGAGCTGCAGACCTCAAGCAGCAGGCATCAAGCTGAAGTCCTTGAGTTGAAGCAGGAGGTGCGGCGCCTCAGCAGCCTGGTGGAGAAAGGAAACCAGGCTCTGCAGCAGAAAGCTCAGGTTTGGACTCCTGATGTTTCTGCATCTGTTGTTGGATTGCAATTCAGTCCGACAAGTTTAAATTTTTTATTTTTTTCTCCACTTAGGACGAAAAAACTCTGACGAAGCTGATGGCAGACGTCCAAGAGGCCCAGGAGATTTTAAGCAAACACAAGAGCGACAACAATGTATAACTTTAAAATCCAGATATGAGCTTTAAGGAAACATTATCATTATTGTTATTCGGTTTTGATGTTTTGAATTTCCCCCTCAGGAGTTGCGAAGGGATGCGGCGGAGCTGCGTCGCGCTCTGCAGCAGTCCATAGTGGAGTCCCAGTTCCTGCGGGAGGAGCTGAGGAGAACCGGCGGCCCGGCGGCGGCCCCGGCTCATCACATGGAGGAGAAGATCCAGCTGCTGAAGGAGGTCAGTACCGCTGCTGATCACAGTGGGTAAAATAAGCATAGATCACTATTTTCCAACATATTTCTGACATTAAATTTTCACCAGCTGTTGCTAACAACCTGAGTAATCCATACAAAGAAAAAACATTGTCCCAAAAAAAAAAAAAAATCATCCTCCTACCACTTCCTATTGCCTTCTTTTGCGTTTCCATCAGTAGTAACATCTGGCGGATTACTTGGGTTGATCACATGACTCACGTGATGATAAAAATGTTTCCATTGCAGTTTTTTTCCGCAATTGGCCTGTTTCCATTACACAGATTTATTTTCGTAATTTCATTTTGTGCAATTTTATGGTGACTGAAAACAATAGATAGATTTCAACCTATTTATTTTTGTTTCTCTCTGTGTATGGAATACTTGGGTTTCTACCCGCTGGAAATTTCATAACAATAACACGTTCGGAAATATGATTATTATAAAAAATCGTGGCACATTCATTACTTATTTTATCTGTGGAGTCGTCGATTTGTGATTGTTGATGTTTTTGTCCACCAGGTGGAGAAGCTGAAGGCCAGTCTACAGGAAGCAGAGCAGGCCAAATTTAAACTCCTGGAGAGAGCCAAGCGGCATGTGAGTGCTGATCGTATCTGTGGGCTCACTGTGATTTCTGTCCACACACCTGTGTGGGAAAATACTTGACAGTCGTCGTGTTTATCATCATCCCATCTCTTTTAGCAAATTATCCACCAAACCAACCAGCAGAAGTCTGAGAATGAGCTCCAGATTTTAAACCACATGATCAATAAAGTCAGAGAGGTGAGGCATTTATTCTGTTGTAGTTCATATTAGTGATTTTATCCTTTTTTAACGTTTGATGGAAGTGTTTTTATTTCCTCACAGACTCTCCTTTCGCTGCCAGAAGTGGTGAAACATTGCGAACAGCTGCAGCAGCTGGTGGATTACATCGGGTGACGAGTTTCTGGTTGTCAACACGTGTTTAGATTATTTATGTTTTTTGTGTTTATTGACTTGTTTTTATCTTTAGAATGATTAGAATATCTTAATATGTTGGACATGTCATTTCTTTTGTCAATAAATTAAAAATCAACAATATAAACATTAAACCAGTCTTGTTCAATCTTGATATTTTCTCTTGCATTTCATAACTCTTTTTCTGGTTCTAAAAAAAATAAAGCACTTTCTGGGAACTTTACTGTTGAAATGCTGGTGTCCAAAGTGTGGCCCAGTGGCCATTTGTGGCCATTGCCATGATTCTGTGCAGCCCTTGTCCACAATTCAACATTAGTTGATAATTATTAATCTTTTATCAACCAATTTCTTTGCTTTTGTTTATAGTGTTGGATTTCTTGCTGCCTTTTGGCCAGGACTCTGTTGAAAAAGATGTTTTTAATCTCAATGTTTATATTTAAGTATGTGTGTGTGTGTCTTGGTTAAGTAAAAAAAATAAAATAAAGATAGCACATACCACCAAAACATTGAGTAACTTATTCGAAAGTAGAATTGAGATGTACAATTTACTATGTAGAATAAGAGTTTTAAGAAAAAGGTATTCTATCAGAATGTTATTGTAGGCTAGAATACATCTTAAACGATTTACAGATACTGTTTTGAAATCAGGCTAATACATTCAGTCAAAAATAATATATTTAGTGGAGTAGCTTTTGGGTTGTAACAGCTTGAGATCAAAACTGATAAGTGATATGTAAATCATTAATTACAGTAATATGAGAAAGTATGTGACATTGATTCCACCTCTGCTAATTGTGTTCTTTTATTCCTCTATTGAGTAATCCAAAAGTTCCAGTTTTGAATATACTTTTGATTTGAATATATTTAAAGTGTGCCTTTCCTAAGTGGTTAGAATCATAAGATGGCCGCCACTTTGAAGTGGCTGTTTTTATTATGTACATGGCTAGAGTAGTTAAATTACAAACTTTAGATGGGCTTTCACAAGTAAAGAAGTATAAAAATGACTAATTTTTTTTTCAGAAATAAGTAATAAGAGATAATTATGCAGGTATTGCACTAATCACCTTAAGGTCCCTTTAAAAAACAATGAAAATCTGGACATTAATCTGTGAAACACCCTGACAGTTTGATCACTTTACACTGTAACTGTAAAATATACTGTAACGATTCTGGGTTATGTGTATTTATTGTATGTTACATTGTGATCTTTATTGTTATGTGTATAAAGTTATAGGACCTGTCATGTGGGCGGGGATCAGGGAGCAGCAGGACAGGACCGGAAGAGGAGGGAGTTCGGGGGTGTTAGCAGGAAGCTAGTTCGGGGAGCGCAACGGTTTGTTGGAGGTGTGAGCTGCGGCCTCAGAAATAGCGGCTCGTTTCTAATTACTAATAAACCCGTTGTGCTGGCGTCATTATAATACATTACGATTATACAGTGAGGTTTAGAAAATACAGCTATTTGCCGTAAACATAAATGTTTCTGGAAAAAATATATAGAATTCGTCGGATTACTTAGCTGTACTGCAAAGTTTAAATGTACCGTTGCATTGTGGGATATTTACCGGCTGGAGGCGACTGTTCGCGGGCTTGAAAACGGGACCAATAATGACTTCGACCGGGTAAGTAGCTTTTGAGTCATATTTTAAAAAAATCTTTTTTGTGTGTGTTAGTTGACAAAAATTTATTTTATGTGGTTACATCGAGCTACTTGAGCTTCTATCGTTTATGTTTGCTAAAATTGACTTTTTTTTAGCTTTAGCTAAAATAGCATCTTGACGCAAGTGGTTTTTAGTTCTGTTTTGACGTTTGTGTTTCATCCAAAATATGCCGATGGTTACATTTGGCGACTGGAGTTTAACACCTGTGGAATTGAGTAAACAAACTTAAACAATGTGACTTTACTTTTTTGTAAAGCAGACACCTTTTCAAAATCAATTGATATTCCTCTTTGATAACTTTGGTTGAAAAAGTAGAGAGTGATGTTAAGAAGCAGGAAGACGATACATCTGCCTCGTGTGTTTACATTTGGTTCTCCCGCCCAACAAATAGACTTCATGTTCTCCAAAGTAAATAAAAAACCTCAACAGATTTGGAGCAATTAAATGAACTAAAGGTGTGAAAGGAAAACGCCCTCAAAAAAACATTACTAGCTTATTTGAAACAAAAAAAAACTCGTCTTTGTGCTCCAACTGATCTGAATGAAATTAGACATGCATCTCTGCAGATCTCTGGTATCGACTCATTAATTTGTGGATATAAAAGTTTCAGGATGGGAGCTCTGCATGACTGAACGCGGGCACCCCTCCTTCAAAAAAGTTGCATAAAATGAGTTGGAACAACTTTCACTCCCATCGTTTTTATATGCAAATAAGCAACAGAAACCCCGGTTGGGCCCAACTGGCTGATATCTTTTCATTATCTAGCTTTGTAACCTCCAGGCAGCCACCGCCCTGGGCAGAGAGCCATATTGCTCATGTTAAATCCACCACTACAGACATAAATAATTTAATTTGTGGTCAACACCAAGCGACGGTTTTCAGACATGTGATGCATCATGGATTAAGCAGCATAATTGACATTTAATATGATTCACATCATGGATTTGCATGAAACTTGGTAGTCTAATTGTCCAGCTAAGTTGCTTTTCTGACTGACAAAATGCTTCTTCAGCTGCATCTCCTTCCTTTCTTTCCTTCCTCTTCTTACACAACAGCTTTCTGCAACAAGAATCATTTACATATGATTGTCCATAATCACTGGTTTGAATATGGACTAAATTATACCAAGAACTTTGCATTTTTCTTTTTGAGTGCAATGCATGTCATACTCAACTTTTCTAAAAAAAAAAGAAAAAATTAAATATAATCTGGTTTTTAATTTGTAACATAATTTAAATGCCCCGAAAATCCTTTTTAAACAGCTGCTTCCAAGCATTTCAGTTTAAACCCACAAAAAATCCAAATATCAATTGGAAACGTAGAATATTAAAAGCTGAGATGCACAAATAATGCTTATAGATTAAATTTTCATCATATTTCTACTTTCTACACCTCTCTACTTCTGATTTTCATGTATTATAACTCTTGTAGTAATAAATAAAGGCAAAAGTATTCACACTCCTTTAACATTTCCTTGTTTTATCATGTTGCAACCAGAAGCATGTGGGTTTCATATTATAGCCAGACACAGGTGGCACAAAATTTTAAGTGAAAGAAAAAGAATAGATGCTTTCTAACATTTTTCTAAGTAAAAACCTGAAACGTGTTGGGTGCTTTTGCATTCCCGTCCTGCATGAATCAACAACTTTCCGCGCAGCTAAAGCTGCGAGTGTTTTTGGGGGAATGTCTGCCAGCTTTTGGACGTCTTGCAACTGAATGTTTTTATACATTCTTCTTTTCAAAAAAATAAAAAAATAAATCTCATGCAGTTGAAACAAAAAGTGTCTGAAGTTTGAAAACTTTGCCACAGATTCCAAGTCTTTGCAATCGACTGCAGTACATTTTAATTAGGGTGTCAGAGTAAATGGGGAGAATGGAAAGTGCATTCCACATTTACAGATTTTATTTGTGGTTGTTGTTTTTTTGTAAACTATGCATTAATTTACCTACATTCATATAGGTGTCAGAAAATCCCTTTTACGTTTGTGTTGGTAATGTGACAAAATCTAGAAATTAAATATGTCAACATGTTTTGCCAGAGAGCATGATTAAAAATGCTCTTTAAGTATCTAAAAAGCCAAGTAACTGCACTTTTTTAAAACTTTGCGTGGTTGTTTAACTCATTCGTCCGTCAGGTTTTTTTTCCCCCTGCATGTAGGTTTCTGTGGAAGTTTGTAAAGGTGTAGTTAATCAGTAGGTAAATATTTGCTCAGGTTGGATGATTGCTCTGCTCAAGCCTTCTCCCAATATTGTTACACAGTGTGTACTATGTACAGTTACAGGTTCTATTGGTTTTCTAGTTGTATAACTGGGTAATTTTAGGTTTTGTTACATTTAATGAGTGAAATTATTGCGGCTTGTCATGTTCCTCCTTTCCAACTAAGAATTGTAACCGAAAAAAGCCCAGAATATGGAAACATATATCTGATCTTAATAAAATAAGCTATATATCTTATCTTATACAAAAATCGTAAAATCTCGCATTTAGAGGTAAATAAATGAAGCATTTAAGCAACAAAGCTGGTTTAATGGACGATAATGAAGCGTTTCACTGCGAGTCTCGTCTTGTCAAATCCTCAGGCTGAGGAAGAGTTTTCTGAGCTCCGTGTTGGTTTTGCGGGATGAAATATCGAGTTACTAAGTCAATTCATTTCCTTGATTAGTGAAGTGAAGTGCTAAGCTGATGTCTGGACATGATAAAGTGGAGTCCGGTCACAGTGAGTGGTAAAGCTGCGGCTCCAGACGACACTTCAAACCAGCTGAGCTGAGACGCTGAAGGAAGCAACACAAAAAAATAATGCTTCTCTCTATTTAATTTGGTAGTTGGGACCTGGATAAATGATTTTAATTTACCACTTTAATAAGTATTTGCTATAAGAAATATTTTCCACCCTTTATATAATGAAACCCGAATAATTGTTTCGTTTGAGAACAATTTAAGTGCAATGGTTTACCAGTAAATAAATGTTTTTTATTCACGAAGAAAAAGTGCTCTATCAATTTATTTACAAAAAAGCAAACAAAATATACATTTTTGTTAAAAACAAAACAAAACAAAAAAAACAATGACATGCACACTTTCTTTCTACAATTAATCCTCTGCAAACAAACCTGTTAGTGTAAAGCCAGTAACCATGAAGCACAATAATTTATATGAACATAACAAATTCTGTTTTTGAAGCTCAGCAGGCTTGTCGGTGTTTTATCCGTTCACATTGTGACAAAAAAATGGGAGAAAAAGGTATATTTGAGTGAAAACTTACAGAATGAGAAGATGGGCTTTTAAAATAAAAGCAAGAAAAAAAAATCACATTTATCTCAGTCTGCTCAGTTTAGAGAAAACAAGTCATGTTTGTGCGCTTGAATGTCACTTTCTGATTGGAGCCAACATTGAGGTTCAGCAGCTCAGATCGCGGGAACAAACCGGTCCATCGTCCCGGGATACGACGGGTGTCTCAGGTAGCTCCCACTGTTGGTAACTGCACCTGCCGCAGCGCTGTTGTACTGGGAGAAAGAGCCAAGCTGCACTGGAGACGCCCGGCCGTAATGGTCCACTGTCTCTGCAGAGCCGTGGGCCGCGGCGTGGATCCTGCCTGCCGAAGCGTAACCCGGGCTGTGACCCTGTCCGTAGGAGCCCTGGTGGGCGTGGTGGTGCGGGTGGCCATTCGGGCCGGAGTAGGTGAACCCGGGGTGCGTCGCGGAGCGGGGCGGCACCGCTCCCCCGCACGGCTGACCCTGGAACCCCGGCGTTCCCAAGCTGCAGGCGGCGGACCCGTTAGGCAGCCCCTCCGGACTGAAGCTGCGGCCCGGCTGCTGCATCATCTCCGCACCCTGACCCGCCAGCATGCCGGCTGACGCCGGATGTCCGATGATGTTATTGATGCTAAACATACGGGTCTGGCTGTGTGCGAACCCAGGCGGCGATGATGAGGGGTAGTAGGCGGCAGAGGGCAGCTGCTGGCCGTATGCAGGGTTGACCGCCATATTGGGGTACACAGAACCAGAGTACGCCGCTGACCTGGTGATCTGGACCGGGGAGAAAACCGGCGTCTCGTGAACATACGCGGCGTAGGTGCTGAGGTCGCAGCGCTTGAACCTCTTCCTGCGCCTCAGGAAGCTGCCGCTCTCAAACATGTCCTCTGCGTTGGGGTCCAGTGCCCAGTAGTTGCCCTTCCCGGGTCGCCCGGGTTCCCGCGGGATCTTGATGAAGCAGTCGTTCAGCGTCAGGTTGTGGCGGATGGAGTTCTGCCACTTCTTGGAGTTGTCTCTGTAGAAGGGGAACCGCTCGGTGATGAACTTGTAGATCCCCCCCAGCGTCAGCTTGCGGTCGGGGGAGTTGGCGATGGCCATGGAGATGAGAGCGATGTAGCTGTACGGCGGTTTCCCCCTCTGCAGAGGTCTCTTCCTCCTCCTGCCGCGCGGCTGCTGATCCTCCGTCTGCGGAGAAGGGTTGGAGGACGGCAACCCGGAGTCCGCCGGAGACTCTTTCTCCACTTTGACCACCGGCATTGTCATCGCAAAACCCCCAACAAGTGATTCGGAAGAGGTCCTCTTTAGGAGCAAGTAACCAAATTATTTCTGGGGCAGGGCAAAACCAGACATCTGCCAAAAAACTTAAAAACAACAAAAACCTACTGTCTCTGAGTCCAAAACCAGCAGATCTTCCCCTGCAAGACGAGTAAATTTCCTCTGTTAAAAGATAAGAGCGTCTTGTTTTCCTGTCTCGCTGTCAGCTGCAGTGAGAGGTGAGCTGTGAAGGTGCCATTTGCTTTAAGGTGTGAGAAAGAATGAGTCACTTAGTTACCTGGAGAGTGTTTTACCTGTAGGGCCACGCCCCCAGAGCATCACATGCTCCCTGCATACCTGAGCTTCAGGTTCATGAGGGTCTGTTGTTCACGTTTGCCAAGAGTCTCCATGCTTTTTTTGAATATTTTTTTTATAAATGGGGTTTTGCTTTTTCATCTATCTCTGTCTGAAAAGTGTGGTGTGTATTTTTTATTCAACCTCTCCATGAGTCTTTACTTTGTTTCGACAAAATGTTTCACCCTTTCATTGGGTCAATCTCAGTCAGATCAGATGGAGAGCAACTTTGATGGGTAATTTTAAAGCCTTGGGATTGATTCTCATTTATATTTAGATCTGGACTTTTACTAGGCAATTCTAACACCTGAATATACTTTGATTTAAACTGTTCCATTTTTGTTCTGTCTGTATGTTTAAAGTGGTTGTCCTGTTGCTTCTTACAGGTTTTCCTAACAGTATTGTCCAGCATGATGCTGCCACCACTTAGCTGGTTTGGAAGGTTTCCAAGGTGCACAGAGAGGGACAAACATCAGGTGAGCTGAGTCGGTATAGCAAGATTTAAAATGAGTAACTTTCTCGTTATAACAAGATGCAAAACCCCTTAAAATGAGAAACTTTCTTATTTTATGAAGAAGAGTTTTAGCTCATTAAAACAAGAAACCTTCTGGTTATAACAGGATAAAATGAGAAACTTTCACATTAAGATTTAAAACTAAAAACTTTAATGTTCTAACGTGATTTAGAACTCAATAAAACAAGGAATTTCTGAATTATATTTTAACATGGAAGTTTCTCAACAGTTTCTTTTAACAAACCACATCTTTATATAAAAACTTTTCTAGATGACACTTAAAAATCTGAAGAACTGTTTCTGATCTACTCAGTCTTTCTTTTGTAAATGAGAAGATATTTCGGTTATAATAAGATATAAATCTCATTATGACATGTTCTATATCCCATTATAAGGTGAAAGTTTATCATTACAACTAGATACTGTTCCTGAATTTATTTAAAGGTTTTGGCAGTTTGGTTGAGAATTTTTTGTGTGAAAAAGTTAGTTTTAGAAATGTTTTTTTTTTTGTTGTTGTTGTTGTTGTTATTATTTTTTACTTTGCAGAATTTGCACACAGTTGTGTTTTTTCTGATTGCATCACAAATTCTGTAACAGTTTATAAATTTCCAGCTTTTAATGGCCTTTTTTTATACACGTTTACCTGCAAATCACCAGTTATTCTGTCAGCTTTTAAGTTAAATTACTCCAAACTGTCTAAAGCAAATATAGTTTCCTCTTTATATTCAAATGTTCCCTTCAAAGCCAACCTCAGCTTATTTAGAAATGTCTAAAATGCGCCACGTTGTTTGGACGTTTAACTCTAAAACACCTCTTTAGTGGTAACTTAACCAATGAGTTGTTTTTCTATCGAGCTTCCTTGTTTGTTTTGTGCCAGTGGTTGGACAAGCCAGCTGTGTTAAGAGATGTAAATTCTCTGCAGACAAAGGCCCTCCAGTGATTTCAGCATGCAAAATATAGACCATCATCATAAAGCCTGGACACAACCTGAAAGAACGAGGGGAAAAAAGCAACGCTTTGCATGGAAATCACCCCGTGGAGCTGGATCACATAATTTTTAATGCATTCAAAGATCAGAGTAATAAATTATTTTATCCTCTTCCGTGAATTTTGTAGGTTTAAACTTGTAAACTGAAAGTGTTGATATGAAGTCCTTAGGTTCACCGGCTTAATCTCTAAACCAAACACAGCAGCAAAGTCCTGCTGCTCGGCACCAGGCCGGGTTAAGCTGCAGGGATGTGTCAGAGCCGGAGCGTCGCGGACGGGAAAAGCTCGTAGGTTTGCTTAGACAAGCAGCCCGATGAAAGGTTTAGTCCTGCGGGAAGAGCTGCGGATGTGGCGATCCTCGGCTGGAGCTAAGTGGAGGCTAAGGTGTGGTACGTGGTGAAAAACGGAGCTTCTTAGGGTTAACACGAGGATTTACAAACCAGTTTAAATGTACTCTTTGTCCTCTTTAAGAAACAGGTCAAAGGAAGCCAAAATGCATTATTTCGTTTAAATAATCCCAGTTTAATCTGTTTTTAAATAAAAATCATGCAGGACTTATTGATGTTTATCTTAATCTTCAACTTAATCCTTATCATGATTATTTTTAGCTCAGAGGATGTTGCCGTAGCATTTGATTAGTTGTTCTAAACAATATTGTTATAAAAAAATAATTGGTATAAAAATCTAAAAGGAATGATTTTTATATCTCTTTGAATGATTCTTGATGTAATTTTGAAGAATTCTGCAAATCTCTGAGATTAATGTTTATGTGAGATTTTATGGAAATAAAATCCCCACCAGGAATTGGTTGTGTAACAAATAATTATATTTATTATTTATTAGTGGTAGGACTCTATTAAATATTCTTAAATCGAGTTAATTGCAGGTATTAATTGCATTTTAATCAAATTAAACAACATTTTTAATTCAAAATCCTTTACTAGCTAAATTATTGAATAAATAAACATGCAAACACAAAAATAAACAGATTTATTGTTTTTAATCTGTTATTTAGGTTACTCAACCTTCAGATTGGATCTCATTGCTGGTTTGTGGATGCTAACGTTAGCACTGAGGGCATCTGTTGCTACATGCTTAGCATTGAGATGCTATTTTAGTCTCGAATTTCATCACTGATAGGCTAAGTCCGTTTAGCTGAACTTCAACACAACAGTCTTTTCCAGCGTTAAATCAGATCGTTTTTCGCAGCAGACATTAACCCTCAGTGGGTCGAGAGAAGTGTCGGCCATCGCTGCCGTTTGCAGATGTCGCTTGTGCATAAGATTTACTGGTGTACCAGGAACCCAAAAACAAAGGTTCCGCTTGGAACTTTTGTATGTTCAAAACATAAATCAAGTGATTAATTGAAACATTTTAACACGTGAAAGTTTCTCGTTTTATATCTCATTGTAATGTCAAAGTTTCTTGTAATGAATGACGCAAAATCAACAAGTTCTGCCCTATTATTTATCAAACTAATGTCAGCACAAAGCAAACAAATAGAAAACATTCTAAAAATTGTTCCTAATTCTGAGATCTTTGGTAATTAAGGATCTAACCTTATTCAGAAGTTTACCGATCTCTCAGGAGGTTAAGAAAATGGTTTCACAACCTTTAATACTGAGCTCTGAAACATAATGACTGAAGAGGGAGTGTAGGAGGAATGATTCTGAGCACTTCAGGCCATAAAACATTTATATTTTGAAGTGAAGTAAAAGGTTGTGACTAATTTAAGGCCATTTTCAAAGTCACCAGGGAAATCAAGCTAAATGTGTGTAAAAGGTCAGATCTAAGGGATTTTACATTCACTATTTCATTACTTTCACCTAGAATCTCATACTAAAAAAAATCAGTTTGGACCAAGCTTACTCATATGGCCTATTAAGAATGTTTAAAGAGGAAATGGAGGAACAGTTTATGAAAAAAACACAAAATTCACCCTGTTTTATTTACTTTTTATCAAAAGAATGGCGCATAAAACAAATTCTTCATCAGTGAAAAACTTTTAAATGGCAACACAGCAAGCAGGCCCTTCTCGCAATTTCTGAGCAATGTTTTGCAACCTGATTTATCTTTGGTGATGAGTTCCAAGTTTTTAAAGGTGGAAGGCCTACTTGTCATCACCCTAATCTTTAGCTCAGGCTGCTCCAAAATGTTCCAGTCAGGCTAAATATATTAGATTCATTTCTAAATCTGCCAAGTTTAGACATTAATCATTATTGGGCTGATAGATTAATTATGATTTATCAATTATGGAAATAATAGTCAACTAATTTATAACTGGAGGACATAGACTCAATAAAGACAATATGATGAAAGAACAACATACTCAGAGCAGTAATTAAACCAAATCTGTACAAAACAAATATCAATTTAAGACAAAAAAAAACCCTTCCTTGTAAAAATGTTCTACCTAAAACTTCTTAAGTACCAGTTTTAGCTTCACCTGGTTCAAATTCTGTAAAAAAACAAAAGGAAACTCCTCACATTTAGCACCATTCGCTGTCCAATTATTAATTGGGTAATCCAAAAAGTAGCCACCAGATTAGCCTTATAGTGATGCTAAATCGATCAGAAAGAGCTGAGCATTGATGTTACAAGGATGTTAGCTGCTAAAAATGATCAAGCGTTCACTAAAGGAAAGCTGTTATTGCATCTTAAGCAATAAAATGTTTTTCTTAAAGAAAGACATTAAATTATATGTTCTTTTGCATTTTTTTGGTGTTTTCAATATTGTATAGAAAAAGCTTATGTGGTTAAATAAAAAATCTTCAGTGTTAAGTTTTTTGGTCTGATTAATCAATTAATTGTCAGGCCTGAATTATTTTGGCTACAAAATTATTATTGTCAAAATGTCTGTTTTATAATGTTGCCCATAAAACTGTGATGACACTTTAAAACAATTTTAAGCTATGTTGTTATGAATTCAACATATTCACTGTGTCCAGTGATTAATTGGGTAATCCAAAAAGTAACCACCAGATTAGCCTTATAGTGATGCTAAATCGAGCAGAAAGAGCTCAATTTAGCATCACTAAATCGAGTGATGCTAAATCACTCGATTTAGTGATTTTTTTTTGGCTCTAGTGGCCTTTATTTGATAGCTAATTGACAGGAAATTGGGTAATGAGAGAGGGGGGAAGACATGCAGCAAAGGTCGCCAAGGCTGGGAATCGAACCTGCGACAGCTGCGTCGAAGACTTAAGGCCTCCATATGTGGGTTGTGCTTAACCCCTACACCACCACAGCAAACCCTGATTTAGTGATTTTATAAAGAAATGATCAGCAAACAGCAAATTGCTATCAAGACTGAACCTTTTATATTATCAGTTAGTAAACAGTCACTTTTTACTCACAAACATTCCTTTAGACCAAATTTAATACTTTGCTGATTTTGGAAAATGTAAGCCACATGCACAAAGATTTAACAGAGAAAGTGAAAACAAATTTCCAAAATTTGTCTTCAGTGCTACAATAAAAGTTTGTTGACTCTCACATGTTGTCATGTTTCTTGGCGATAATACCGAAACGTTTAAAAGCCTTAAAATAAATTTTTATTGCAGAAGCAAATATCTTGGATTAAGAGAGTAAAATAAATACGTTTTAATATTAATGCATTTTGTATTTTGGATGTTAAAATTACTTGTAAACTTGTTTAACTCAGAATCAACAATTTAATTTTTTTGCATCATTTTGTTCCCTTCCTCTCGAGTAAACCTGACATGACTTGTATTTTTACAGTTCATTTGGCTACTGTTTCATAGAGAATAACTTTAATTACCATGTCTTACATGTAAAATTATTATTCATTGTCAAAGATTTTGAGAACAAAGAAGCTGATGAGTGCTAAAAATGCTGATGATGCACAGGAGGTTAATAAAAATTTCACAATCCCAAGATTGAGTGCTTCAGCTCAGCCTGTGACAGGCGTGATGGACAGGTATTTCAGTTTGCAGCAGACCTCACCCTTGAGCTAAGACTGCTTCTTATGCTCAGCGGTAATGAACAATCAGCGGTGAGTAATTTCTCAGGTACCTGTTGTTACTGGAGCGCCGGATTAAAGCTGCGATCCTGTCTTGGCCGTGTTACAGTTGGTGTTTGTTCATGAGCTGTTTTATCTCCGTGCGGCTTAGAGATACACCGAGTGCTGCTGGAGGCTGACTACTTTCAACATTTGTTGTCAAGAATGCCTTTAATGTGCAGATGTGCATCAAGTTTTGTGTTCTTCATTCAAAACCTCAAATCTGAATATATCAATCTCATCGATAGACTCGCTGAACACGTTGGGGGGGAATGGAGAATGGAGAGCCCTGCAACCATGCACTGCTGCAGCTGTGAGAGTTCTCCACCTTGCAGCCACAAAGCCGTGCAACGAAGCAAATGACTGCTGGAGGCTGAAAGAGGTTGCAGCAGAGGCAAATGAAGGGCCCTCCACTTTGTGTTCCACCTGTAGGGTGGCCGGCGAGAAACAGCTCTCTCAAAACAAAGACAAACAAATGAGACATTTGAATTTGAACACTTAACTTTAACCATTCAGTGACTGCAGCTCTACAGGTGGTTGTAAGCCGAAAGCTGACAGGCACACACATAAAACACAGAAGATGTGGTGGATAGAGTAGGGATTCAAACTTTAATTGTTAATTTTTCTGCCTGGTTTCCATTCAGTGTTATTGGTGCTGTAACATCAGAGATTGAATAAATGAAACATTTCAGAAATATATTGTTTCAGAAAAATAAGATTATTCAACATATTCAAATGTTTGCTAAACAAATTGATATAAAACCACAAAGTCTGATGTAAAGTTTTATTTTGGTTTGTTCCGCATTAGTCGAACTCCAGGCCATCTGTTTAGAAAATCCAGCTTGTTTGGGCAGGTGTCAATACGTAATAAAACTAATGCAGACTAAAAAAAGCTAACTCTGGTCCGCCTATAAACCAAGGGCTTGGCTTGGCTTGGCTGAAATGAACTCTGATGCGGCTCGACTGCATGTGAACGCCAAGCGGACCAGAGACCGCTCCAAAAGCAGGAAGTGGACTATAATAACCCATTTCTCCTAGAGGAAGAAATGGCTGGTGGTCTTTTACCAACAATAAAATAAATCCTACAACTG